CCAAATCGACAATGGGAGTGTACACAGACCCGGCAACCGGGAACAAAGTCACAAAGTATACAGATGAACGATCGTTTTTCCTCCGTTTTGGAGTTGGAGGAATCACAAATTTGAAGGAAAGAACAATGTTATAATTTCAATCCAGCTGTCAGCCTCTTTATTTCTCTCTCTCTCTCTCTCTGTATCGTTCGCATTCTCTTTTTCTTTGTTTGTCTCTGTCTTTCTTTCTCCCAACCTATTTCCCACTCTATCTTTCTCTCGTTCCCTCCTGCCAACTGGGGCATGTCATACATTTTGCTAGCATTTCCCCCTGCTCTCTCCTCTCTCTCTCTCTCTCTCTCACACACACACACACACACTACCGGATCTGGGTGCTGAAACTTTCCAAAATCACAAAAGAGTTCCCCTACCGGGTCTGTATACTTTGTGACTTTGTTCCCGGTAACCAAGTCTGTAAACACTTCGATCGACAATAGTCGCCTCCGTTGGCGATTTTAGTCGCCTTGTCACCCTTGTGCGCTCAGCAGAGTGAGAGAGGGAGGCGAGTTTTGTCACCTGGAGCGCTCAGTGACAGCAGGGGTCCTTTGATGCCCGAAACAAAATAAAAAGGGCGGAAACAAAAAAAAAAACGGGAGAGAATCGTAGGCTGTCATTCTCACCCCTATATAGTATCAATTTTATTCTCATCCGGGGTGAGAATAACATCCAGTTTATCCTCACCCCGGGTGAAAATAATCACTCCGTTCCCTTTTAGGCCTACCAACTGAGGCCTCGTTTAAGATATAAATTAATATTGATGCTCAACCCAGGGGAGAACCAATTGGATGACTAGATCTAGTGATCTAATCTAGGCTTATTTTTACCAACATCTCTAAAATTCGAATAATTGTACGAATAACTGTCTGGTTATTCAAACAATTGTACTAATAACTAGTTAGAGTTGTACGCACTATTGTACCAATAACCGCAGCCCAATAAAAAATATAATTTAAAAAATCAAACTCACCTCTGAAATCTTGAAAGCGAAGTCAAAATTTGTACGAACAGAAACTCTTCACATTCTCAGTTAAACCTTCGTACTGTTGAACTGGTTGTGAAAGGAAAGAGAGCAGACGATCGCAAGGGACATTACTGCAGTTTCAAAATTATCAAAACAAAAGCAGACGGTTAGAAATCGGCGCTCCAGTACAATTGCAATCATGTTTGACACTCATTTTGACCCCACCAACAATTACTCTTGGTTCCAAACGATTACTATTTGATTTTTGATGCGCATGCCAATAGGCCTATGGAGAGATAGCCAATCAAACCTAAGTGCAAACAGAGTGTCTACGTACACGGTAACGGACACCTAGTCGTACCTAGTCTCAGTATCTACGTACACGGTAACCGGAACGAAAATAAATCAATATTTGTCCTGTGTTGTCACTTGCTGAAAAAAAAAGAAAGTCATAAGCGTCTTGTCAGGCTCGCCATCGTGACCAGTTAGTGAACCTGCGCATGTGCATCACATTGTGAGTACCGGTTGGAGTCACTAAAGTTCATTCAACAAAGTCTGTGCGCTGCGAAGTAGAGGAGCGCTCCGGAATGGGGGGATTATTGATTTCTTTTTAAAGGTACAGTTGGGGGAGGGGTGGGGATGAAGGCAACACCAGATGACAAAAATTGAACTTGGAGACTACATGCCCGGTTGCCGGTTACCGTGTACGTAGTGCTAGATATTGAGGCTACATGCCCGGTTACCGTGTACGTGACACTGAGACTACGTGCCCGGTTGCCGGTTACCGTGTACTTAGACACTAAGGCTAGGTGCCCGGTTACCGTGTACGTAGACACTCCGATAACTTAATAAGTAAAACAAACAAAGGGCCTAGAAGCCACACTATCAATGCCAAAAATAGCAAAAAAGCCGATATTGCGCACTGAAACGGACTGCACAAATTTGGTCTGCTTCAGTGCGCAACCCTATCTGGCATGTTCCTGGGCATTAAGAAGCAGCCTGCGATAGTATTTATCGATTCTAGTATACATTCTACGATACATTAGAGCTAGATTAGCGGTGCTTTTTCGGTAGTTCCCACCCCCCTTATTTGAGCCTTACCTACATCTAGATATCTAGATCTAGATCTATATGTTTGATTCGCGGTGAGCTAAGATATCAAACCTAACAACTGCAAAACATTAAATTATTCTCACCCGCCCGGAAGTTCTCGCAAGATCTACTCCTCCCCTCTTCTCTCTCTCTCTGTCTCTTTCTGAATACTGTCTATCGGTGAGGACGATCAAATTGACCAAAACAAAGTTAAAAAATGATGTTAAAACACAAAAGTAAATTAATTTGGTTGTCTACAAAGATGCTACGGCTATTTAACTTTACGAATCGAGCCGAACTACGCGGGTCGCCATTTTGTTTTGTTCTCTCTCTTTCTCTCTCTCCACTGCCCACAGACAAAATTGTACGCTTTTAGTAGGCTACAAGTACAGTTGTAATGGAACGTTTGTTCACAACACAGAATTCTACAATTTTTCTGTTATCACAGTGTAGAATTTTGTGGTTTAGGGTGAACGCAAAATTTGTTGGCCTAGATCTAGGCTATAACGGTGAACGCGCACCGGGTGAGAATAGCCAAAAGACTCGCCGGCACTATTCTCATCCCGGGTGAGAATAGAGGTGGCCGTGGCCCAAACCCGTGAATAAAATTGCGGGGTGGGAACTACCGAAAAAGCGCCAGATTAGCTAGATCTAGATGTGCTAAATAATCGACTACTCAAGCGCTTAGTCAATTGACCGATACCGGTTACGAAAACCATTAAGGAAGAGGCTAGCCGTACTTAATGGCGGCTAGACTGGCAGTCTAGCCGTACTTAAGTACGGCTAGACTGTGAGTCTAGCTGTACTTAAGTACGGCTAGACTCACAGTCTAGCCGTACTTATTCTTAATATGATGGCTAGACTGACCATTTACAAAAAAAAGGCCTACTGAATTGTAAATATACATTTTTAGTGTGCAGTACCTAAAGTATTTGTATTTGAGACAAAACCAGGTTCCTTAATGACAGTGCATGTATTTTAAACCTCCTGTTTTCTAATGTAAATAGGGCCTAAGATAAGATAAGTACGGCTAGACTGGCAGTCTAGCCGTACTTAAGTACGGCTAGACTTCTTGTCTAGCCGTACTTAAGTACGGGTAGACAGCCAGGCTAGCCGTACTTAAGGACGGCTAGACTGTCAGTCTAGCCGTACTTAATATTGATGGCTGAATTGTAAATGAAAATTTTAGTTTGCAATGAATGCCTAAAGTATTTGTATTTCAGACAAAACCAAAAGGTGCCTTACTGACTTGCGTGTATTTAAACCTGAATAATTATTAGATCTAGATCTAATGAGACCACATGCCGTTAAACTTAGAAGAAATGACGCATCTTTCTGATTGGCTGCTTATTTTAGTAATGTGATGTCATCACTTCCTGGGATACCCAAACATGGAACGATGTGTTTTCGGTAACATTTCGGATTTTCTAGATCTAGATCTAGATCTAGATCTAGAATCTAGATCTAGATCTAGAATCTAGCTAGATCTATTTAGACTATTAGGCCTACCTGGACATGATGGAAGACCGCACGAAAATTGCCGTAAAGACGCAGGAGGACTAGATCTAGATAATATCTAGATCTAGATATAGATCTAGATCTAGATCTAGATATCTAAATTTAGATCTAGATCTAGATCTAGATATCTAAATTTAGATCTACCAACTCCCCCCCCTCCTGCATTTTTAATCACTAATACATTTTTAAAAATAAACAACAACTTCAAAGTCAAAGCAACTCTACAAATTTGAAATTAGGCCTATAATTTATGGAACTGTTGGTCAGTCGGGAGGAGGAAAAGAGAAAAAAAAACTGTCCGGGACCGGAATCGAACCGCTCCAAAAGTCATTGCTCGACATCAAACGCAGACGCGCTATCAAATCAGCTATCAGAAATTCCGAGAAATTTGTGTAGATTAAGCATAATATACATAGACACTTCCATCTTTGGTGCCATGCGGTTGTCTATACTTAGATGTAGTCACGTGATCGGAGGGGTATCCTGGTCTGACGTCAAACAAGATGGGCGCCTTACCTAAACATAGTAATGATAGTTTGTATGAGACCTGTGTACTTTAACAGGCTTGAGTCGATTGGGCCAAACCTAGATCTAAGTACGGCTAGACTGGCAGTCTAGCCGTACTTAAGTACGGCTAGACTCTCAAGTACGGCTAGCCACTTCGAACCATTAATATGAAGGGGCAAAACTTTCCGACACCGTAGAATCACGTGTGTTGACAGGAACCTCCAAAACGAAAGTGAAATAAGCTGCATTCTGCGCATGCTCACAGAAAATGACCTCGTTTTCGCTGTTCTTATCCAAAACAAAGCAGGAGACCGGGGGTTGCGCACCCAAACAGTAGCGCGGTGATGCGGGCCTACTGAACTCTAGATATCTTGGTCTTGGACTTGACTAAAATCTACCGAAAAAGTGCCAAATTCTGTGCCATGAACAAACGTTCCAGCGCTCTTGTGTTAAAAGCTTTCAATTTTGTCTGTGGGCAGTGAGACAGAGAGAGAGTGGAGTAGCGCGAGAACTAGATTACCGGGCAAAGCAAAACTGAAAATGGCGATTTTAGATTTTAGTCGCCTCCCGCGCTCATCAGCGGAGTGTAAGAGGGAGGCGAGTTTTATCGCCTGGAGCGCTCAGGCTCAGTGACAGGGGTCCTATGATGCCCGAAACAAAAAAAATGGGTGAGAATAGTAGGCTGCCGTTATTCTCACGCCCGGGTGAGAAAAGTTTATTTATCCTCACCCCGGGTGAGAATATTCACTCCGTTTGACACGGTTCGAATATCCAGTCGGGCAGTTGCCATGAGTTGGGGATGCATGGCATAGTTTCGTCTATCTAAGAGAGATCTAAATCTAGATCTAAAGGCGAGAAAGTAAACAACTGCCTTTACACCTACCTTTTATTTTATTGTTTTCAAACGATCATCCACACAAGCTAAAAGTAAAAGACAACGGCCGGCACGTCATGCAAACGAGGACGGCACAGAAGCAGATCAAGGGAAGTTGAGAAATTTCAACGAAGTGCAGTAATGTCTGGACCGGAAGTAGATATTTAGTGCCAGATTGTTTATTTCGCGCGTTCAAATTCTGCAAGACTGTCAATAAAGGCCAAGTGACATTGGCCTAATATAAATATTATAATACAGCACAGCCTTTTTCAAATAAACAATTAACTGCTTTGAGCTACACTTTCAAAATTCCTAGTTAGTTCAAATCAATCTTAAAGCTCTTGTTATCCCTCATCAAACACGTAAGAATTCGCATCTTTATAAGTCTCTGGCAAGCGGAAAAGATGTTTTCATGTACCGAAGGCTAGGGGAGGTCATTCTCATTTTGCACTGCCCTCGGAATATTTCGTATTCGCTATTTAGATGTGTGTGTGTACTGTGTGTGTGTGTGTGTGTGTGTGTGTGTGTGTGTGTGTGTGTGTGTGTGTGCGTGTGTGTGTATGTGTGTGTGTATGTGTGTGTGTATTTGTTTGTTTGATTTGTAAAGAGGCTTCTACATGCCATGGAAATTTTTATTGTACTTTTAAAAATTAAAGTGTTTGGATTATAAGGTCTACAACGTGCATGCGCGTATCATAATTATTAAATTACATGTATTATGCTTGAGAGTGAGAGTGTCTGTATGTGTGTGGGGGGGGGGGTGTACACATACCTGCAGGCATTATTCATTCCCCTGTTCATGTTTGCAAATCAGATTCTTTTAGGCTATATGCAGTAGCTCAATTAGCGGTATATTTGGCTCCGCCCATACCGGTACATGAAGCGCTTCATGTACCGGTATGGGCGGAGCCAAATATAATAATCCCCCCATCCCTCCCCCTTTCGACTAAGCTTATTATTTGAGCCACCCTAGCCCACAAAACCAAAATTATAGGTTGCAACCTAGACGGTCAGAGAATGCATAGGTTGCAACTGAAGACCTACTGTTAATTTTTTCATCAGATGTCGCCGTCAGTTCGTTTCTGATATTCTTTGTTAGCAATTATGGAACTACTGGCTTTTTCAGTTGAACGTAAGAGCAAAACGACACATACATTGATGCACTCGAATGCATCGTTCATGTTTGGGAGGAATTATATGACTTGGAACTTTTTTAAAGTTTTTTAAATTGATTCTAGGATACGTAATGTTGATCCATTTGAGCACCGTCCGGACAATAATATGCACACACGTGAGCTATCTGTATTGTGTTTACATTGCTACTAGCCATCTGGAGAGGCAAGCTGGTCGATCTTCTAGCAAGTGCATGAATCCTCGTCTTTTTTTGGGGGGGGGGGGGGAGGGGGGCGATCAACGGAGATCGAACAGAGCAGATGCTTAAAAAGTTAAGGTCATATTATGCTACAACTCCAGTCTGTGGGGGAGACACAGGAACCAACAAACACACAACAAACTCCACAATAGTATGTGGCGTGGCCCTATGATGCCCACTAAGTCCCTATATATGCCCAAGTTGGGTTCACTAACACCTCTGGGTATCCCCAGAAGAGACAACCTTATTTGACTAAACTGCGTAAGGAAAAATGACACACCGAAATCTCTGGCACATAGACGACCCCCTGCAAGGAGAAGACCTCTTTTGTGTCAGATGCAATGCCGACCTATTACGAACAACATCCTAACAGAAAGACCCGACTTTGGAGAGACACGAAGAAAATATTTTTAATGCACCCATTTGAAGAACTTTCTCTCAATCGTTGGTTCCTACAGTACAGAATACTCAATTCATAAAGCCTTTGGTCATTATAACGTAGACCGATTAAAATGCAAATAATGTTATTTTAAAATGTGAAAGTAAATGACTGTCTTTATTGCTATCTATTATTATGTTCTGGGTCTTTACGGAGTTTTGTTTTATTTTACTCGAGCCATTAATTTAGCCTTTACAAAGTAAAAACCAAACTGTGCAATGAACTAACGTAAATAAACAATCAACTCGAGCCAGCGTGCTAATAAGACCTCTGTGAACGCCGTAGAACTGTTAGGCCCTACCTAAACAAAACCGCACGCACCGGTGCGCGCGGTATGTGTCTGGGGGGGAGGGGCGTGTGTGTGTGTGTGTGTGTGTGTGTGTGTGTGTGTGTGTGTGTGTGTGTGTGTGTGTGTGTGTGTGTGTGTGTGTGTGTGTGTGTGTGTGTGTGTGTGTGTGTTGTGCGAGCGCTCGCATGCTTCCATTCATTTTACCTAATCATTATGGCCAACCCCACCAGCTGGCACATGTAATTGCGAAATGTTTCAAAACCAATCCCCTGTTTTCTATAGCAATGTTTTTCATTTAGGTCGTGTTTGAATTCAATGCTCCACATTTTCACACCAAAATAATTGTAACTGTTTTACGAAGCTCGCAACTGCATGAGGTCATTATGAGCGCGATGGGCACATTATGCATGTTCAGTTTGGTAGGAATTAATTCTGACTTTTGGCTGGGTGGCGACCGGAGCTTACTCTTATCGATTTTAAAATCATCAAGGGATCCTCAACGTGCGGAACTTGCACACGGGACCTTATAGATTTTTTGGGTTCTTATTCGATAAGGCTAGGTACGGGTTCGATCTTACCTTCCTAAGATCAGGGGTGTGGCTGAAGACAGCAGTAAGAAGGAGCCGAGGAATAGCAGTAGAAGACAGCAGAAAGAGTCAGAAGCCCAGAGGAGGAGGCAAGGGGTGGGGGGTGGGGCAGAAAATGGAGACGAGAGCAGACAACAGAACATGGTCAGAGAGCAGGTGAGGGAGCTCTCGTGGACTTGAGGTTAAGGTGTTCGCCTATCATGCAAAGGTCCCGGGTTCGAATCCGGGTAGCGATGGAACATTTTTCTTCTCTAAAATTGTCTCCTTGTAACTCCTTTCCTGCTCTCTAGCAATGTTCCGTCGTCTGCTTTCGTCTCCACTTTCGCCCTCACCCCCTCCCCTCCTTTGTAAATTGTCCCCCTCCTCTAGGCTTCTGTCTCTTTCTACAGCCTTTCTACTGCTACTCCTTGGCTCCTTCTTACTGTCGTATTTCAGCAACATCCCTGATCTTCTGGTAGGAAAGATCTACCTAGCCTTCTCGAACAAGAGCGAAAAATCTTGGCGGTCCCGTGTGCAAGATCCCTTTAATTTCTTGTGGTCTAAAATCTATAAGAGTAGGCTTCGGTCGCCACCCGGGCAATATTCAAAGTTTCCTACCAACTGAAAATATTTAGTGTCCCGCGCGCTCATGACATTATGCAGTTGCGAGCGCCGCAAAAGACTTGGGACTAGCAACTACATTTGTACTTAAAAAAAAACAAAAAAAAAACGACAGCAGGTGAAAGGGGAACATATATTTTGGGACATGAAAATGTTACGTCGCTATGATGTTTTGAACCCGGGACCGCTACTATTGAATGAGAGGCGGACACTTTAACCTCTAGATCAAGAGAGCACTCTATGCCTCACGTGTACCGTATGCTTTTTTCTCTCTTTTGCTACAGCGGGCCTTCTATGACAGCCAGTGGTTGTCACACAGAACATCTCCCCGTGGAATGGTGGAATTTCGAACCCAGCCACACCCATTCCATAGATTACAAAACATAGTTAGATCTATAAGTATTTTTCTCACATTGCATCACCAGTGATCCACGCGGCCATGGCCATACGAAGAGACAGGAGAACCCGGATGTGAGCAGAAGGTCAAGTAAGTTCCAAAAGGAGAACTAATATTATATATATATAGGCCCTACGTTACGGATTTCACATAGGATAGCCCGGATAGCCCATCACAGTTTGACGAAAAGTGTATTATTAGAAAATACATCGACCTACCGGCATTTGTAATGTAGACCCTTCTCCTACGCTGAGTTTCGACTCCCATGCGATAAAATATTTTATCGAGTCTTTCTGCTGGGATCATAGGTGTACACTATAGGTTTAAAAAGGGATAACTCTATGGCTGGGACTTCGTTTTTCTGTAAGCCCGGACTGGACTTGACATGCAGATTCGAAGATCGCCTCCCAAACGGTCCAAATTGTGTCGATAAAACATACCCCCCCCCCCGAAAAAAGAAGGGGGAAAAATCCACACTTTCGGCTCATCCGTGTAACCAAAATGTAACTTTACCGAAAGTATGTCTGTGGCGTTCATATTCATAGAGTTAGATCTACCCTCTTTTGTGCCTATAGTGTACATCTATGGTGACGTTCGAAGGTAGGGTGTCAGAGACAGAAAGCACGAGAAGAGTGAGTTATCATAGATATAATATAATAGTCCTTTGTTACAATTATAGCCTAGACTGCCTCATCAGTCGACACGTGATATTGTTAATCTATGTTATGCGTTCTGTTGTTATTTTTTATGTCGTAATAACAAAAAAGGAGGGGGGGGGGGAGAGAAAATTGGCGAGGCCTTTTTGAATACCAAGCATGACAAGCCTTAGCTCGTGGTTGGATTTTTAAAAAATCAAATCTTTCCAGAAATGGCAATTCCGTATTGTGGGAAATGCAATGAAATAATGGCCTGTTGTGAGCAAACTGCAATTCATTTCTTGAAAACTGTGGAGCTGAGGAATTATATAGCAAATTATTATTATTATTATTATTATTATTGTTATTATTATTATTTTGCTTCATATCTCTTCACAGTGTGTGCATGTGTGGTTGTTATATTCATAGGGTAGGCCTAAAGTCGTGGTGCTCATAGGCCTACGCAAATTTTCCTCACCTGGAAGTAGTAAATTATAACTAATGATAGATCTAATAATATATTGGTCAACAACAACAACAACAACAAAAATAATAATAATAATAATAATAATGATAATAATAATAATAATAATAATAATAATGATAATAATAATAATAATAATAATAATAATAATAATAATAATAATAATAATAATAATAATAATACATGTAATAATAATATAATAATAATAATATTATAATAATAATAATAATAATAATAATAATAATAATAATAATAATAATAATAATAATAATGATGGTTATAATGCATGCAATAATAATAATGAGAATCATAGCGCAGCGTTGAAGTTCTGCGCTACAGAATAGATCCAATTATATTTCACAATACGACTGACAAATCAAAAGTGATAACATCAACAACAACAAACAACTACTCGACAGAGGACAGCGCGTTAATAAATATCAATTAATGTGTTTTTTAATAAAAGACCACCCTGCTCCCCCCCTCTCTCTCTCTCTCTCTCTTTCTCCCCCCTCTCTCTCTCTCTCTCTCTCTCTCTGTCTCTCTCTGTCTGTCTGTCTGTCTGTCTCTCTCTCTCTCTCTCTCTCTCTCTCTCTCTCTCTCTCTCTCTCCCCCCCCTCTCTCTCTCTCTCTCTCTCTCTCTCTCTCTCTCTCTCTCTCGATCTCTCTCTCATGACGAAGTATGTACGCCCCCAAGGGAAGTGCAACTGACTGAAGTATCTTAAATTTAGACCATTTCCAAGGGGATATTTACATAGTTTGTTCTCATGCGCATGAAGCAGAATGGTAAATGGGTTGATTTATCAATGTATCATGCTCATACGGTAATGCGCCGGAACAACACAGGGAACTGCTGCTTTTTCTTTCCTCATCTTTACTGTCGTCATTTCCCTTCTACTTCTTTTGTATGTTTGTCACTCTCTTCGAACTGCTATTTCCGGGGTGTCTATCGGAAGCATACTTAAAATTTTGTGCTGTTGAGGCTGGCGAGGTGACAGGCCTGATTCCGCGCCAGTTGGACTTCTCTAGCTGTTGATATTATTCACCCCTTGCCGGTCATATTATGACCTTATGCAGATAACGCCGTAAAACCTTACTGAAACTAAAAGTAAAAGAATTATTTAGTTGTTTGGGATGAGACTTCCAAATCTTTTGTTATACATCATAATGTACAATAATATGTGTACGTGTATGGGGGGGGGGGGGGGGGGGGGGGGGTTCTTTCACTCAATTTATTTGACCAGGCCTGCATTGACATCAGGCATTCTCACAATAGTCTGACCCTCAGATCTCAAAATTAATGTCTTGATGGTGTACGTAACCCAAAGGTATAAATAAAAGGCCTTATATGTTGTTATTCATGTACATTTTTGGCATGAAAAGGGGAATTTTTGTAATTAATTTATAATTAGCTTTGACTGGTGGCCAGTGTAGCTTTATAAAAACGGTGTATATATTTTTGGGACTTTTCAAGACCAGCCCCATTCAACTATTAAAAATGCCAAATAATTAAGCATAGCGTACAGCACCTGCAGTTGAAATAGTTTATTATGTAACCCTATGCAAAAGCAAAAAAAAACTCCAGGCCATCGACGAAAAGGTAAAAAAGTAAATGCCAGAAAGAGCCTTTTCTAATAAAACCAAGGGCTTCTATAATCCTGAAGTGAGTTTATGCTGTCAAGGCTGTACAACTATCTGGGACCTTTGAGTGGGGCAAAAACGAAAGAATCACTTTGATACTTAACAAAAAAAAAGACGTAAAAAAGTAAAGGTTCAAGCTGTACAATGTTGTGTCTTCCTCAAGGCAAGGAATTGGTGGGAGGTTTCATGTCGAAAAATCTTTAACATGTGTTGCCAGTGGTACGAGTGGTCCTGGCCAGGCCAAGCCGATACCGGATAATAAACAACACGCCCCACTCCAACTAAAACTTGGCAACTCAGTTCAGCTCTGACCTTCTGTCAACGAAGATGTGTGCTGTTTACGTCTTACATGTTTGATACGCTTGGTAAGTTGTGTTGTTTAAGAAAGTGAAACTGATACATATGTTATGCATTATTAACACAGTTAGCTACAGAAAGGACGAGTTAAGATGCGATTAGTTATATCGCTGATAGTGAAAGATAGGAAGGAAAAAACCCCCACTAAGATCTCAGCTCTGCCCAAAACGAGAATGGTGATCAGCCTCCCAGTCAGCCCAGCGTGTTGTGTCGTCTGGCCCTTCGAACACGCCCCCTTTTGGTCGACTCATCTACTTTTGAGGTTGTTCTGAAACTGTTTAGTCATTTGGTACTTAGTGCACATTTTTCAGGAGCCTAAATAAGATAGCTTGATTGAACAAGCATAAAATAAGCTTTCGAATTGTGACATCCTTGGAGAATTGCTATGAGAAGAGGTATAGACAACTTGGTTCACATTCTCATTCATCACGTTAAGTTACTATATATCTAGATCTAAATCTAGCTATTTTTCACAGTGACTACTCCAGGCAAGTATTCAATTTCAAGAAGACAACAGTGTTGGCAAGTAGATATCTAGTCTAAGTTAGAGATTCATCACGTTAAGTTACTAGAGATCTAGATTCTAGCTATTTTTCACAGTGAGACTACTCCAGGCAAGTATTCAATTTCAAGAAAAGACAACAGTGTTGGCAAGTAATCTAAGTTAGAACTCCCAAGACTTAGATTTCAACCACCAACTCAATCACTTCTTCATGAGTCCAGTCGTGTTGTTTTCTTTGGACTTCTCTTTTAATTTTTTTCCTTACCTTTCGACATTAGTCTTTTATCCTTAATTCTGACTTCTCTCTATGCCAATAGCCGTACTAGATCTAGGTCCTATTATTTTAATGCAAGTTTTTTGCTAGAGAGTGGCATCTCCAAATTACAGTGAAAATCAAAGTATGAAATATAATAAAATGAAAGAATAGTTTGAAAATGTTATGTATGATGTGAAAGACTGAGATCAGAGACTATTTAATGTGTTGGACTGTATTCAGTTTCACTTCATGTGTTTTCTGGATGTATAGTAGGCCAACTATTTAAATGATGGTGGTGTTTTTTTCTAGGTAGGATAGGTTGGGGTGACTTCAACAAGTAGTGCAAAGCAGCCATTTTACTTCTCGGTTACTACATTCTAAATTTTCAACCAATTGCAATTTTGTGGCATACATTCACTTGGGACAATTGCAACAAGGGTTGGTGCAAATTCGTGTCCCCAGGGGGCAATTCTGACGGGGGGTGTGGGTAACTTTAGCAGGGGGCGGATGTATACAGTATTGGGTTTAAAAAAAACTCATTTTGCCTCTCCCCCTCTCTTTCTCTTACCTTTTCTCTCTCTTTTTCTCTCATCTCCATGCATGTCCCTCATTTTGCTGTCTATCTGAATATCTCTCTCCCTATTCCTTCTCTCTAACCGCCCCTCCCACATCCCACCTCCCCCCACCCCACCCCCCAGTTTCTCGAGAGCACACATGTCACACACACGCACACACGCACAGACACACACACACACACACACACACACGCACAGACACACACACACACACACACACACACACACACACACACACACACACACACACACACACACACACACACACACACAGAAGAATGACAAAACATACTAAAAAATATAGTAGCGTGAAGGCAAAACAAGGTGTGAATATTCTTTGACAAAAAAGTATGCATACAAAAGTATAAAGACTTGCTTGAAAAGATTATTCACGTTTTTCCCCCCTTTCTGCTTGTTATACTTTTTGTCTTCTTTTACTTTACGTCCTAGGAGATGGCCTTCTTTAGTTTTCACTGCCTTTAGTTCCAGGATCTGACTAGTCAGAATAAGGTGGGAAGTAAGATTTGCTCATAAACCCCGTGGTATTTTGGCTTGGCCTGTAAATCAGGCCCAGGACTACAGGTCGAAATTGGCCCACTCCTTGTAGAAAAGAAGTTGCCCCGTTCGCCCTGTCGAATTTGCGCCAGGCATCAAAGTCTCAACACTTCTTTTTAAATACATCTCCAAAATTTATATCATCATTTCTAATTCTAGACGGATATAATGGTTGTATCTTGTGAATGGACATGCTTTTTTGCAGGTCTCTTTGCTTCTGCTGAACAATATCTTAAAGATGGTACGCCACTTGAAATTGATGATTTAGAGTCAAATTATGGAATTTGAGTTGTATACTGATTAGTTAAGTTCAGTTACTTCTGTACCTAAAACTAGCAATGGGGAAAATGGAGAAATTCATGTCATAAATTGCCTTTGAAAACATGAAGGTGATGCAACTATTGTCTCGGGCACAAAATGAGAGGGTTTTTTGGAGGATAAATTAGATACTTTACTGTTTTAGCAGACAGAAGAAGAATTGGCAAATATATGACCTACGAATACTAATGTCTAATTGTCACAAATGAATACTGACTGACATTGGGATAGTACTCGTCTTCACAATAAAAAATTAAAAAAACAAATATAGAGAGAGAAACATTAGTTCTATCTCGACATTGAGGGTTTATGTTATGTTCTGAAATCATTTGTCCTTTATATCTAAAAAAGTATTAACTCATAAATTTTACATTGTGCATATTTGATCTTGTATTCAAATTTTGGAATCTTTGATAAATAACTCAAGTGGCAAACAAGGACTTGTGAAAATAAATAGGTCAAGTGTCTGTGCTTTTTTTTCTTTCTTTGACTGTACTTGTTGGATGTATGAAAAATGGTTAAATTCATGCTATTATCATGTACATGGTATGCTTGTTTCATATGTGTTGCAAGTTCACATGATCTGCACATGTACATCTGTGTGTATGTGTGTGTGTATATATATATGTTCCTGTGATCTGTCCCCAAATTCATCATCATTTAATTATATTATATATAATTTATTTTTTATTTTTATGTGTCGAAGTTAGGAAATATATTATAATACTGCTGCTACTGATATTGTATCACCATGATTTCATTTTTCGTGTCTGTGCATGATCATCCTCTTTACGAGTTAGAATTTGCTGATAACACGGTAGATTATAATTTATCATATATGGTATAGAGGTGTGATTGTGAGACAAGAGTGGACTTTTATGTCAGTGACACATTATTTTTCTTGGTGCATTTTCATCGTGAATATTCAGCCAGCTCTCTTTTCTCCCCACGCTATGATGACATGACTGATAATTGTCCCGATAAAGCTTTTATATATATATAGTTTTGTTATCTCTTCTTGTCAAATTCTCCTTTATAACATTACTCATAACTGGGAGTATAAGTGAGGTCTTGGTTTATGTTATCAAAGAGAATGTAAGCTGGTATCACTTGAGTGTCTGCCTGGACTTTTTATATTTTAACCTGTATGTCATAAGAAAATGTAATGTGTGTCTTCATTGTTTAATACTTTGACTATTTACGATAACTGAGGAATGGTAGAGGGATAGAATGTGATCAAGAGCAGTAAAAGCCTTCTTTATGGTTTAGAGAGCAGTTAAAACGTCTGTGGGTTCATTTCTCAGCATATCTGAAAAAGGTAAAATGACACTTAATTTTATATTGATGGTTTTGTTCCGACCTATGATTTTAAATGAATTCAGGAGAGCGCTGTACGAAATAGAAGGGTGTATTTAATTCTTAGGTGAGGAAACCATGTAGTCCTCTGCCTGCTTAGTTGCTTTTTGAGTCTTCACGAATGATAAATTCTGTATTTTCAAGATATATGTGTCACGACGCAATGGAATCAGGCACTCGTCAATTTTTGGGCATGTGCAGTTATTGGTATCATCTGAAAGTTTATTTCATTTGCCTTGCTTTCAACGAAAAAAAATACCCGTCTATCTTGAATAGAAGTAGAGATATTTGTGTTTGAAGCAGATGAGGTTGCCTGGTTTCAGTGGTAAAATTAGCGAGAAAATGGCTGCTAAAGTTTGGTACTTTCAATAGCTTGAGAGTCCTTGAAAATGGAAAAAAATACATATTTTATGACTTTTCTAGTAAAATTCACATGGAAATGCGTATTATTTGGACTTAAAAGGTGTTGAGCCAAAAAACAAAAATTTGATAAAAATTGCCAAAATGAGGAGCAAAAATGCCTGTTCCATCAATTTCATTATTTTGACGAGTGCCTGATTTCACCATGATGCCTCACAAATATTTTCTGAAAAGAAAAGGCCAGAATTCATTTTCTCTGGTGTTCAAAGTAGATAGGTAGTGGAATATATAAGATAAAGATGTCTGTCTCAGCTGTCATACTGAAGGCAGTTATTGTGACTTAGTCTAACCTAAATTGGGTGCTTTGGTTCTGCTGACGAACACGTAAAACTAGCTTTGGATATGAATTAAGCTGTGTTGTTTTTAGTTTTTAATAAATATTTGGATTTCAAATAGTTTAAGTTTAGTGTCTAATGTTTTCTTGGTGCTTTAAAAAAAAATAATTTATTGGGGGGGGGGGGGGGGGGGGCGATCAACGGAGATCGAACAGAGCAGAGGCTTAAAAAGTTAAGGTCATATTATGCTACAACTCCAGTCTGTGGGGGAGACACAGGAACCAACAAACACACAACAAACTCCACAATAGTATGTGGCGTGGCCCTATGATGCCCACTAAGTCCCTATATATGCCCAAGTTGGGTTCACTAACACCTCTGGGTATCCCCAGAAGAGACAACCTTATTTGACTAAACTGCGTAAGGAAAAATGACACACCGAAATCTCTGGCACATAGACGACCCCCTGCAAGGAGAAGACCTCTTTTGTGTCAGATGCAATGCCGACCTATTACGAACAACATCCTAACAGAAAGACCCGACTTTGGAGAGACACGAAGAAAATATTTTTAATGCACCCATTTGAAGAACTTTCTCTCAATCGTTGGTTCCTACAGTACAGAATACTCAATTCATAAAGCCTTTGGTCATTATAACGTAAACCGATTAAAATGCAAATAATGTTATTTTAAAATGTGAAAGTAAATGACTGTCTTTATTGCTATCTATTATTATGTTCTGGGTCTTTACGGAGTTTTGTTTTATTTTACTCGAGCCATTAATTTAGCCTTTACAAAGTAAAAACCCAACTGTGCAATGAACTAACGTAAATAAACAATCAACTCGAGCCAGCGTGCTAATAAGACCTCTGTGAACGCCGTAGAACTGTTAGGCCCTAC